AAAGAAATCTCTTCCATGTCTCCTAAATCCCCTCCACAAAAAAAGGGAAAAAAGCAAATACTTCTTACTTTCCTCTTTCTCCTCCTCCTCCTCCTCCTCCTCTTCCTTCTTAATATTTGTATTACTGCAATTTTTTCACGAAATGGTAATTATCAATAAAGGGAACTTGAAGAACAAATTTGGTGTTAAGGGACTGGTAGGAACAAGAATTTTAACAACTGAGTGAGAAGTCAAAGTAGGATGGTGAGGAAGGTTCTTCATTCATTAAAAAAATAACCAAAATATTAATAACATATTTAGTATGTACAGCAAGGGTTGGAGAAAAACAAGTGGGTAGGCTGTAGGTTGGGACAGGTGTGGCAATCAAACTGATGAGACATTAAATTACATTTAGATGTTGAAGAAAGGTTGGAACATGAATTAACTAAAAGAAGCTTGAAGGAGAGGTAGGGAAAAGACAGGTTACCAAGGAAACAAACACATACATATTTGGATAATATAAGCTGACTGGTCCTGGTTTAAAAAAAAGGTTTAGGATCACTGGTATTAGAAGACAAAACTGAAAGCTCAATTATAGACACTTGCAATTAGAAAAGATTTAAGAATCACCCAAGTGACCCATCTTCCTAATGAAGAATGATATAGCTTTCTTTCTTTCTTTCTATCTATCTATCTATCTATCTATCTATCTATCTATCTATCTATCTATCTATCTATCTATCTATCGATATCTCTCTCAGTTTTAAGATAGGGTCTTACTAAGTTGCTGAGAGTCTGAGTTGTTGAGACTGGCTTCAAACTTGCAATCCTCCCATCTCAAACAAGGTGTTGGGGTTACAGGCATGGTGCCTAGCTAAGAATGACATCCCTGACAAATGGATAAGGCCATTCAGTTGGTAATAGCACTGAGGTAGCCACTTTATTATTGTACTCTTCTAAATGTTGAAAATTATTTGTTCTAATATTAACTGTATAGAAACATGCCTCCTTTAACATCTCCCTACAAGTCCTGGTTCTGACTTCTGATGTACCCAGCAGAACTCTGTGTTCTCTTATTGGGACAGTTTTTCAAATATCTTAGTTATCTGAGGCCTTTAACAAATTATTTTTTGAGGATCAACTTTCTCATCTCTAAAACAGAGGTGTACAGAAACTAATTGTCTCCTGATAGGTGCTGTCCCTTCCATATATTGTAATTAGATTTTTTCTAGGTATATGGAACCCAGCAATGATTACATTTTTTTATCCTTCCAGACAATTGAATATGACATTCTGCTTATGTTCTGGTCAATGGACTGTGAGCAAAAGGGACCTTCTCATCCCATTTCCTCATTCCCAAAGGTTGGGACTGGAATTTGGATGTAGGGTGAGGCAAGTTAATCCCTGTGGATGAGCACAATACCCTGAAAACAAGATACAAAAGACCGGGCCCCTGACAACTTGACAAGACAGAACTACCATTCCAGTTTGGACTTTATATAAGAGAGAAATAAACTTCTATTTAGTTTAAGCTTCTTGTTACTTTTTAAAAATAAATGTGTTATGACACAAGAACATATAGTCCAAATTTTTTGGTCTCCTCTAATCTGTGGTCACCTGAAATTTTGATT